ATGCTTAGCAAGTAAAAAAAAAAAAAAAATGGCATTCAGAAGAGCAGTTCACATGTTTTGGTAATGAAGAAAAACATTTCATTCCAAAGACACACACACACAACATAATTCACCGTATATCTTTTTTATTTTTTCGTGCAGTGTGGTACCATATAAATTTCCTATTCTTAAAAAAAAATTAAAACGTCAAACACTTGATCACACTATCCTTCCTCTAAGTCTAACATAAACAGGACTCAAAACAGGCAAAACTAGGGGTAGGACGCCCACCGCATGCTCTCCATGCCGACCTCCCTGTCGGGGGAGCACCGTGCGGTGTTAACAGTGCCAGACACGAAGCTGAGCCCCTCATTTAAATCGCCCCTTTATTCCTATCCCACCCTCTGTGTGCGGACACCATCCCCTCCGCCTTCCTGGTGAGAGAACTAAAGCACTGGGAAGCGGAAAGCACCGCGCCTCTGTGATGAACCCCGAAGTCCAGTCAGAGGGGGTGCAATCCCAAAGCTGGGGGGCCGGGGGGGACGTCCCAGAGGGAGCAGCACCCCGACGCCAATCCGCACCCGGCCCCGGCGCCCCGTTAAGGATACCCACGGCCAGGATCTTCCCTTCCAGCGTCTCGGGGCTGACCTGCCGGCCCGAGCACTCCAGCAGCTTCCAGAGGCCCTGGACTCCCATGAGGCCGGCACGTCTCGGGGCGCAGCGCGGCGGTGGGGTCGCGGGAGACCTTTTATTCTAAGTCTTCCACCGCCGGCGGCCTCACCGTCCAGAACACAGAAGAGCGGCCCTGCTGCAACTCAGGGAAGATGGGAAATAATCCGCGGTTCGCAGCGACTGGCTCCGCCGCCCTGAAGAGAGAAGGACCCAGAGGACGGCCGACGGCAGTCTCCCCAGTGTTCTGTCTCCGATGTTTGCGCTCTCAACGCACGGCCGGGGGAGGGGGCTGCGCCGGCGAGACAATCAGCCTGAAGGCGCCCCTCCGACCTCACCAATCTCCCCGAGTTGGTGCGGAAATCCCTGCGAAATGGGGCTTCTGAGATTCCATAGGATGCCCAGCGCGCGCAGAACCGGAAGTTGCGCTCCACCGCGCTTACGCTAAATTGACGCGCCCCGCGCGCCGGAAGTGAGGGCTCCGTTCACGCCTGGTTGGTCCAGTCAGCGCCGTGCATCCTTCTCGCTGGCGTTCTGTCCCAGTGAAACCTTAAGTGGTTCTCAACCTTCCTAATGCCACGACCCTTTAATGCAGTTCCTCATGTTGTGGCGACCCCAACCATAAAATTATTTTCGTTGCTACTTCATAACTGTCATTTTGCTACTGTTATGAATCATAATGTAAATATCTGATATGCAGGATGTATTTTCAGGGGTCCCGACCCACAGGGTAACTTAAGACGATGCGCCAAGTGTCTACTTGCTGAGGTGACCACGGCTTTCTACGTGCTTTCTCGGCATCAGTTCCCCCCACTGGCCGCCACTTTGGAAAACTTTTTTAAAATTGACTTTAGAGTGAGGGAGAGACAGAGGAACGTGGATTTGTTGCTCCGCTGGTTGGTGCATTCCTTGGTTGCTGCTTGTCTGTGCCCTGACAGCGATGCAGCCCACAAACTTGGAGTATAGGCAGGACGCCCCTGCCCACCGAACCACCCGGCCAGGGACTTGTGAACACGCTTAATGCTGAGTCTGTTTCACTCGAAGCAACAACAGAAAGGTGGATGGTTTGCTGGTGTTTTTAAGTTAACATTTTTTGGATAACCTTGTAGTAACTAGATAATTTGTAATAAGATTGAAAGCCTTAACCCTTGAAATATAGTTTACTTTTCTCTGGCATTTAAGATTTAGTATTCCGCCGCTTGTAAGTCAGAAATGACGAGAAACGAATTGCCAGGTGAGTTCCCGGGAAGTCAGTGCCTCTGGAGACCTCAGGCCAGGATTCAGAGCCGACCACACCCCATTATAGTCCCGGGAACAGTTGTTCAGAAATTCTGTTTCCTAACCTATAGCTGGGATAACGCCAGGCATGCAGGCGATTTTAGCTGGGACCAGAGCTGACTTATGCCAAGTGCTTACTTACATTAGCAGATACTCAATAAACGATAGCTTATCCCTACTGGTTCAGAATTGAACTGTTGAAACTAGACTCAGAATCAAAAGGCAGATAATCCCTAGAAATCATCCTTCGTTGTATTTTACAGAGATTAATATCATTGCCTATTCGATTTTTGTCTCCCTCCACAGTAGACTGTGAACTTATTGAAGCCAAGCACTGTTTTGTTGACTGTTATGTCCCCCGCTCCTGACACTTAGCCGGGATTCCATCTTATTTTCTTAAAAAAACGCTTCAGCTTCCCCTGAAGTCTGCAGCGCCCCTTGCACCCAGGGGAATGAATTTCCTCCCAAGGCAGGAAGACACCCCGATCCACCCGAGCTACGTAATAGCCCTGCGTTAATGGGCTGAACTGTGTTCCCCTCCAAAGTTATGGTGAAGTCCTAACCCGCAGTAACTCAGAATGTGACTGGATTTGGAGACAGAGACTTTCAAACGTGGATGAAGTTAAAGTAAGGCCCGTTGGGTGAGACTGATCCAATCTGACCAGGGTCTGAGGCAGAGAGACTCCAGGGGAACGTCCACAGAGAAAACGCCACGTGAGGACATGCGAGGAGGCAGCCATCTGCGTGCCAAGGAGAAAGGCTCAGGGGGAAGCAAACCTGTCAACACCTTGATCTTGGGCTTCCAGCTTCCAGGACTGTGAGAAAACCAATCTCTGCTGTTTAAGCCACCCGGGTTGTGGTGTTTCGTTGTGGCAGCCCTAGCAAACAGATCCCCTACTATAATCTTAGGCAAGTTTCTTCATCAATGAGAGTCTGTGAATAAAATGGAGATGCCACCATCTTCTTGGGGTTGTTCCGAGGTCAGCAATTTAACATGAAACAACCAGTGGATAATAGGGCCCAGTTTGTTAAGTGAATGACTAAGGGAGACAATGCTATGGGTAAAATTGAGATACGGAATGTCATCACATCCTAGAGCACCTTGCCGAGCCCTGCCAGCGTCCAGGAGAAGGCAAGTTGGAAAGTGTTATAGCTCCTGCTCCAGCTTGGCCTAAGGATGGGGACTAGTACTGGGAAAAGAAAGTTTCAGGATTTTATGTAAATGAACATGTTTTTTTTTACTGAGAGCTGGGGGGGTGGGGGGAGTAAGCTATTGTGGGCATGTGAATACTATAAGTGTTTTTAAAACCAGAGCACATTTCTTAAAATACAAAATATTATTTTGAAGGAATAGCAACTAAGGGGTGTCTGTCTGTTGTATAAGCCATTAGCTCCTTGAGATGCTGTTTAATAGGCTCTCAAGTTTCAGAACAGTAAAATACACATCTTCTGGAGTAATAGCAAGCACTTAAATAGCAATTCCTACCTATAAAGCACTGTTCTGAACACTTTATATGTACTAACTTAATTATTCAAAACAATTTATAAAATAGATAATATTAGCCCAATTTTACCAATGAAGAAACAAGCACATAAAAAATAATCTTAATTTTCCCAAGATGATACAGGTAGTAAATGCAGAGCCAGTATTTGAACCCCTTAATGCTTCTATGGACACTCCTAAGAGGACTTGACCAAAAAAATAAATATGACAGGAATGTTACTAATACTGAAAGAGAAGTGTGGAGTAACGTGCAGATTGTTTCTGGAAATGTCTCTGTAAACTTCAGTGTGCTCTTGATAACTCAAACTTATTAGTGTCACTGTATTCATTATTTTATGTTGCATTTGTCTCATTTCCTCTTGGCTCTTTCTCATCTCTGAAGTACTCAAACTAAATTAAATTGCTGACATTCAACCACGTTTGACCTACAAAATTGACAGCTTCATTTGTTTCAAGCTAATAAGAATTAAGTTTCTAATTTCTTATCATAAATTCTTATAGAAATATAAAATTATAGTCAATGTATATTATTCCATTAATTAAAAAGTCAGATACGAGATGGTTTCTTTTAACACACTACTTAGACAGAATTGACAAATTATGTACTTCAAACAAAATTAGAAAACTCCCTAAAACAAAGGTTAAAACATTCACATGAAGAAAAGTAGAAAACAAAACTTTATTTGATGAAAACTTCGTAAAAGTTCCAGTATGAAGTAACAAAATCAACAACCTACAAATCTCTTTCAGTCCACTGCGTTTCAAGCAAAATATTCCCTTCAGAAAAATGACCATTTCATAATATATATCCTCTTTCGTAGGCTTACACATGTCTGAGTGGACAAATGGATATAAAATTCAAAAGAGAAAATAAAAATATTTAAAAAATAAAAATCTGAGCCTTCTCCTTGAGATGTATTGCAATATGGTTACCAACATATTCAGCATCTTGTGATAATCAAGTTACTGATTTGAGTTCTGGAACAGCCTCTGAAATGAAAGAACAAGAGATCCTAATCCTTTGTGAGTCATGGGTTGACTACACAAGAAAAATTGACAGTAAGTACAGAGGAGATCAAATATATGAAATCCAAACTTTCTGAGCTATTTAACACTCGCTTCAAACAACTGATTATCTAATGTTTTAAAAAAGAAAACAGTTCAGAGTGTGGAATATGGATAGTTGCCTCTGAATGCATTTTTAATGCTGTTATCAATATATGACTCCATATTGAAGGACTAATCAAGTATCAGATTTCATTTCACAGATTACCATGGATACAGAAACTATGGATGCCACTTGTTCTTTTACTCAGTGCCTAAAACAGATTGTATACCTACAGAAGTCTTTCAAGACCTAAAGTTCTTGTCAATATTTGATAGTAACATACCAAGTCAAGAAAGTCAAGAATATCCTGAAACAATGTATTAGGTCACCCATTTGCACCAATAGAAAGGATTAGTTTCTTGAGTCTTTTTCTCTTCCGCCTCTTTATTGAAAATCCTGAGAAAGTTAACCAGGAAACAAATGAGGCAGGCAAGATACTGCTATAAGGGAAAGAATTACTGGATTCACTGAATAATTTTAAATGAGCTTTAACCATTACAGAAAACTAGAAATCAATAGCCCCATTTTTTTTTTTAAGGGCAGATGGTACCTTAGGAATAAAACTATCTGCAACAAAAGTCTTGGGATCAAGTCATAATAAATCCTGTCAAGCTTAAGTATTTCAAATTGTGATGTTATTAAGTAAATTTGTATTTGTTTATACGTAATTGTATTGGAGTTTGTTAAATTGTCCAGCATGTTTATATACCCTTAAAATGTAAAAAGTCAATAGTCTGTGCTTATCTGCTTATATATCTGAAATCACCCATTAGAATCATATACAAGCTTATTTACTGGAGAACTACAAGGTTATGTTTTGTACCACCAGATCTGCTCCTATTTTAAGTTGACTTAATAAAATCTTCTACTGTCTTAATACAGTCCTGTACAGACCATTGTGTAACATGAGGAGTTTTTCAGTACCCAAGCATAGTCAATCATTCCCACCATAATCACTGTAACCCTGGTAGCCACTGTTCCTTCTCTCATGGATACTGGACATCTTTTTCCATGCTGAGTCCTGATGGAAACTAGCACTGAAAGACCGGCCCAGGCGCCCATGATGCTTCTTGGAGATATTGTCTTCACTCTCAGATTTGGCAATTCCCTGGCCATGTGTTAGAGGTTGTGACTCTTGTCTAATGGTTCCAAATGGAAAGTTCCAAAGGCCAAACCTTTGCCAGCTAAGTCTCTGGAATGCTATAATACAATGCAAATTTCCCCCAACCTGAGAAGGAAAAAAAGTTGGGTGAAGAAAATGATGGGAAATGAATTTCCTATGAATTCCCTTATATGTTCCCCCTTCATCTGCCTCAGAACAGTACATATTCTTTCAGACATTATCAGATCACATTATCCTGCATTTTCCCTGACCAGCTGTCATTACAAAACTATAACAATGCCCACACCCTTGTCAATATTTGATAGTAACATACTAAGTCAAGAAAGTCAAGAATATCCTGAATCAATGCATTAAGTCACCCATTTGCACCAACAGAAAGGATTAGTTTCTTGAGTCTTTTCTCTTTGCCTCTTTATTGAGAATCCTTGGACAGTTAATCAGGAAACAAAGGAGCCAAAACACCTTGCCCTCATATGCCACTCACATACACTAAAGCCTCCCTTTCTGCCTAAACACCATCATTCCTCTTCCTCTTACACACTCTTCCTTTGTTAGTAGGATTCTATCAATGGGCTGTAATCCATAGAATCTACCTTTCTCTGAGAAATACCCCCAGCAGTCTTGTTTATATACATGGCTCTGCCCCAAGGCCACAGTTAATAGGGCTCAGGAGTGAACACCTCAGATTTGGCAATTCCCTGGCCATGTGTAGGGCCAAGCTGCGCCAAGACTATGGAACTAGGCCTGAGGCAGGCCAATCTCAGTATAGACTGCACATCTCAAAGAGAGACATAAAGATGATCATCATCATCACAAAGTAAGTAATCAGACAACAAGCCAACAACATATAACTTCCAAAATAATTACAGACTATCTACTTGGTCTCTGTTGACATTCTTTTACCTGGTACCAGGCCCTTATGAATCCAGGCTACACTCCTTGCCCTTTCGTTTTTAACATACCCATGTGTTCTTAAAATAATTTTCACTTTTCTGTCGAAAATGTTCTAAACTGGGTTTCTATTATTTATAATCTAGAGTAAAATATTGCATTTTGGCCAGTTGGGAAATGCCTTCACATACAATGGTGTTCTTACCTTCTTGGTTTTTCGATACTGCAGTCCCCTCTCCAAGTGCCGGATATCTAGAAATTCTGGATTTTGAGTATTCAGATCCGTAACAATATCTGCCCACCTATAGTTAAGAAGGAAGAATATAAAACACAATTTTCTTTTTAGTAACAAAATACCACTGTAATGAAACTTTTCACATGAGCAATATTCTACAATATTACTGTGGCAATAAGTTGTTTATCTCAGGATTGTTCAAGTTCTAATAAACTCTTGTTTTTATGACAATTCTGTATATGCAACTATTGCCAAGGTTCTCCGTTTAAAAATGGTTAGTCTCCCTATGAAATAAATATATATCAACCTATTAGACAATATCCTGCAGGCTAAAGTAGAAACAGTCTACATTTCCTTCTTAATTAGAGTCAAATGCATTTCCAAAACACTTAAAATTGACATGCCTTTATTTACAAACAATATGACTGTGTGGAAAATCCAAAGTAATTACAAACTGCTTTGTATTGCAAAACTATTAATAGAACTAATAAGTGAATTTGGCAAAGATGCAAGATTTAAGGCCTATATAGAAAAACCAATTATATTTCTGTACACAGTCAGAAAATAACAGAAAGGGGGGAAATCAATTTACAATAGCATCAGAAAATACACTTAGGAGAAAATTTTAACAAAATATACATAAAATCTATATTGAAAAATACAAAATATTGCAGGAGAGGAGTTAAAGCTCTAATTGCATGGAAGTATAGTCTATATCAGTGATGGCGAACCTATGACACGCGTGTCAGAGGTGACACGCAAACTCATTTTTTTGGTTGATTTTTCTTTGTTAAATGGCATTTAAATATATAAAATAAATATCAAAAATATAAATCTTTGTTTTACTATGGTTGCAAAAAATTTCTATATGTGACACGGCACCAGAGTTAAGTTAGGGTTTTTCAAAATGCTGACACGCCAAGCTCAAAAGGTTCGCCATCACTGGTCTATAGTCACAAATTAGAAGACTCCATATCGTTATGATGTAATTTTCTGCAAACTAAACTATGGATTCTATGGATTGTATTCCAATCAAAATTCCAACAGGCTTTTCAGCAGAAATTGAAAAGAAGAAGTTAACATACTTTTTACAGTGAATAGCAGGATGTTTTCTACTTGATTCTCCAATTAAGATCCAATATTCTACTTCTTGTGGTGAGAGGGGACCCCTGCTAGATTTAAAATACATTCACAGTATGTTTAATAAAGGTCATTTACTCCCTTGAAAATAGTGCTTCAATTATATATTAATAAAAGACATATTAAAGTTTATAGATATTGGAGTTTGGGCTTGAGCAAATGTCTGAACACAAAGAGAAAGCATAAATTAAATGTCGGTCTTGAGTTCTATAAAATCTAGGGCTAAAAAAGTTGACATACACTACCTCTCAGCATCTAAACGGGGGGGAAAATCCTAGCATGCTCTGAGAATTCTTCAGCTACTCTTCTTTTACTAGGCATTTAAAAAGTCTCAAAAGGCATCCTAAAAATAAAACCCTAAAGCAGCGATTCGCCTGTGGAACTTTTAAACATACTGATGCCCTGATCCTGCCCTGGGAAATTCTAATTCAGATAGGTCAAGAGTGGAGCACAGCCCTAGCTGGTTTTGCTCAGTGGTTAGAGCATCAGCCTGTGGACTGAAGCATCCTGGGTTCAATTCCGGTCAAGGGCACATGCCCAGGTTGGGGACTCGATCACCAGAAGGGGGCGTGCAGGAGGCAACCGATCAATGAAACTCTCTCATCATTGATGTTTCTATCTCTCTCTCCCTCTCCCTTCCTCTCTGAAATCAATAAAAATATATTTAAAAAATTAAAAAAGAGTGGAGCACAGGCAAGGATTTTCACAATTTGAAGAGCATCTCAGGTGATCCCTAGATTCAGGCAGAGGTGGAAAATGCTCCTCCATAGGGTACAAAGTAGAAGTACCTAGTTTTTCATGTTTTGCATGTGATAGATGTCTGGAATAAGGTGACACTGCAGGGTGAAACCACATAAGAAACAACATACCTCACCTCCAGAGAGATGAATAAAACATTCGGGATTTGGAGAAACCAAGTAGTTTTCCTCTTACCCAACATTCACAAAATTCTATGTCCAACATCCTGCTTCTCCCAGCTCGATCCTGCCTGTCTCAGGATCCCCCCACAACCCTCCACTCTTGCCCAACTCCAAATGCCTTGAGTGGGATACAAAGTTCACACGGTGTCCAGTCTCAAAGAACCCATCCTATCCCCCTGATGGCCAAGCCATATTCTCCCAGCCTGAGTTTCAGTCATCCCTGAGAGGAGAGTGCTACCTCTTCTTCCTCCTCAAGTATGAAAAAAATAAACAAAACAAAAACAGAACCTTAGCTGGGTGAAGAAAACCACACCTAGCAATACTTTTACTAAAAGTATTCATGCCTCTGTTTTCACCATTCTCAAATAGGACTCTTCTTCCTTTGCTTTTAACTATCCTGGCATTATATCAACCCAGCATGAAGAAAACTTGCTAAGGAAGGGAAAGAGTACTAAAATTCAGTCGGCTTAATAAATTCATTTTTTAAATAAATAATTTTGTCAAAGAAATAAACAGAATTCAATCAAATGCAATTCTGCAAAAGAATAAGCTCAGCTCAAACCGGTTTGGCTCAGTGGATAGAGCGTTGGCCTGCGGACTGAAAGGTCCCAGGTTCGATTCCGGTCAAGGGCATGTACCTTGGTTGCAGGCACATCCCCAGTAGGAGATGTGCAGGAGGCAGCTGATCGATGCTTCTCTCTCATCGATGTTTCTAACTCTCTATCTCTCTCCCTTCCTCTCTGTAAAAAATCAATAAAATATATAAAAAACAAAAACAAAAAAACAAAAAAAAGAATAAGCTCAAATGTTTACAGAATAATATTATTTCATATAAGGAAAGCAAGTCACTAAGTCTTCCGATTTCTAAGCACTAAATATTTCTTAAATGCTTTCTACAACACATTTTATGGTCAGGTATCCACGTAACATACAGAAATGCTTACCTGAATGCTTTATTGGCTTTAACAGGGGTTGCTTCAAAGCCAATCGGACAAAAGTAATGATTCTGGCAATGATAAATATAAGCCATGGATTCATCTTTTAATCCACGAGTTAACTTCGACAAGGCCCCTGAAGCTACAATAAAAACAAAGACGGAAGGACCATGAAGCACTATCCATGCTTTATCCAAAGGACGAGTTAACGACTGAAAGACAGCGAAGACATTACTGGGAACACACTGACATGGCTGGGGGAAATGAGAAGCTACTGATGATACCAAAAAATATGAATGAATTTATTTTCAGCTTCACCCTTCACACTGAAATACAGGAAAACAGAATAGCAAACTAAAGAACTGAAATATACCTTGCTTACCAAAACCTTCTAATAACACACATACTTGTCTATGAAATTTAATTATCGTATATACCTAGTGCATATAGTAATGGTCTCAACTTTTCTGGTTGAGTACATCTGTCACTAGACATTTCTGAATAAACATGCCCATTACAAGCATTTTTGTTTATAAACTCTGTGCATATACTACTGTACTATTACGTGTTTTTTTAAAGATATACAAAAAGTATGAATTTTAAATTAGATTAAAATATAGACATTCTAGTATGTTCTTTCCTTACCACAATGGTCAGCTCTACAGTGTGTACATCCCAGTTTGATGACCACTGAGATATATGAATATAGATTCCAGATGATAAAGTTCCAAATATGGAAACTTCCTCTCACTAACATACAGTTTATTCTTTCTCCTAAAGTTATACGGACTGGAGGAGCAGCTTTCACAAGAATATCAGTAGAGGCAGACAGGTAGTAAGTACCAGGGTGTCCTCTTATAATTGTTCCTCCTTGTATATTTCCCATGGCTATATTACTTGTGAGCTAATTTCAAAAGAATTACCATAAGCAATAACTTTTTACCAGCACTTAACATTTAAAGCCATTAACTGAGATTTCAGTATCCTGCATCTCCTAGAAGAAACTAAATTATTCATTAACAAATAGCCTATTGAAACTGGAAATCCTAAAAATAGTTGAAGTAGATGAAAGCTTGCAAATCATGGTTTCTCTGATTGACTTTCTAGCCACTAAAGTAGCTAAAGAACTCTAAGAACTGCAAGTCAATGCACACAAGTTATGAGTTCCACAGATACAATAACTTTTCTGTCTTAAACTCTTCTCTAAGGTTTCATCCATCTTTCCCATAGATTTTTGCCTCATGGCCTACCATCAGAACATACATGCATGGCAAGGTGGTCTTTTCTGCTTAAAATCTCAATTTTATAACGATAAACACATCTTTCTTTTGGGGTTCTCCTGGCAATTTAAAAATTGACACCCAAGGGAAGCTCTAAATGAAAAATAATAACTAAAATTCAGAAGATACTCAATATTTCATTTCCATAGCTGAACTTGATTTGCAGATAGGTTCTAGGATAGTGAGCAAATTTAAGTACATAGATGTAGACTATTCATAAATTCAATAAATCCAAAAAATGTTTATGCACATAACCAGTTTAGGAAAAAAACTCGAGATATTTTAAAAATTGTGGAAATGCCAAATAAAAAATTTTCCGAAATGATTAAAATTGTAATGAAAGAACTTGTATATAACTTTTCAATGGAAATCTGTGTTTCACACCTTCCTTAAGTCAGATGTAATACAAAACAACTCACTTCCGTATTGTGACTATGGTTAGCAATTATTTTTTTAACACATATTTATTGAGTCCTCCCATGTGTGAGGCACTGATAAGACAGGAGGGAACAGGCTGGGTTCCTGGCCTCATGGAGCTGACTGTCCAGTGGAGGACACCAACAATAAAATAATTATGGATGGTAATTTGTGCTTTAAGTGAAATAAATAGGGTGCTGGCTTAAAAGAGGCTCAGGCATCAGACTTTAATATTCAGCGATGGCTCCTTGGAGGTGGTGGCATTAAAGCTGAAACATGAAAGATGAGAAGGATGTGGGGGAAGTGAAATCTAGGGGACAGAACAATCCAGAAGTAAACAACAAGCATATTGTATCTTTCACAGACACTGTCTCATTCTGAAGTCCCTCATAGTCCTGTGAAGTAGGTACTTGCAGTAGGCACTGGATTAGTGATTAGTTTAATGTCTTGGAATGTATTCCAGATTTCTAAGGTCTTGATAAAGAGGTTAGATAACACCTCTTTAGAAAGACTACAGCAGTTTTCAAATTTGGGTTTGCAAGGCTTGTTAAACAACAGATCACTTGTGCTTGGCCTAGTAAGCCTGCGATGGGGACCAGGAATTTGCATGTCTAATAAGGTACCAGGTGATGCTGATGTTGGTCTAGGGACCATATTTTGAGAGCCACCAGTCTAGAGTTAAGAGGAAATCTTATTTAACTCAATTCAGTATGTAATTTATGAGCACCTACTAACTATATCAGGAACTTCAGGAAACAAAAAACAAGTAATAATGCAATATGTGAAGCTGTCCTCATAGGAAGGATAAAACAAGTAACTTTAATATAGGGCAGAATAAGACAGTGCCACAATAACGGTTTGCAATTCAAAGAAGAAAGTGCACATCAGGTCTATGGAATCATAAGGGGTGGCATCCAAGATGGAATGATTGAAGTGGAAGGATTTTGACAATCTAGGCAGAAGAAAGAGCATGAGGAGAAAACCAAAATCACTGGAGGACAGGGATATAACCAGAGAACATCAAGTAGTGTAGTTTAAAATACAGGGTATGATAGTATAGAGAGGCACCCCCAGAATTTCAGGGCAAAGTCATAAAAAGATCATCCTTTGAAATAAAAGATAGTAAATACAGTATTTAATGCATTCAAATGGTCATCCAATAAAATAATTCCATTTAGGTCAAGACATATAAATGTGTTACATATGCAAACTAAATTCAGAACAATGTTCACTCCAGACCAGAGTATATCTAAAAAATCTGAAATTTAAGCAACAAAGCAGCCACTACAAAATGTACAGCCCTAATTTGTATGGTATAAAGAAAGGAGAAAAACACTACTAGAGTTAGCTGGCCTGCAGTATATGTCCTAATCAGCCAACAAGAGAATTCTGGTATCGCTGATATTACGTTTATCACTCTAAGTTAATATACCAACATTCTGATATTCACTGAATTTAGTATGAGTTCCTTCTGTAGAGCTTGATCATCTATAGAAGGACTATAAAGAACTCTAGAACAACTTAATAGAATATATTTTTACACCTTGAAAGACAAGAACCAGATTTTATAATCCACCAACATAATATCCTGCAAGGCTCTTATCCCCTTGAAAATATTTTAAATACAACTGGGAAATGTAGGACAGCAGTGGAAGGCCAATCTTTATTGGCTTTGAATGATGCTAAAGTATTTATGCTTTAAGCAAGCACTGGAGAGCTCTTTAAAAAGAAAGAGATCTATTAGCACTGCACATTAAAAAGATTTATCTGGCCTTGTGTCTATTATGAATTGGAAAAAACCAGTGGATGAGGAATATGAAAACTTAATGCAAAGTCCACCAGAGATGCGCTAATGCACTGCAGTAAGCTGGCAGCAGTGGCCCCAGTGAGGATATACATGAATTATTTGGGGGTTGGGCAGAGGTAGCTATTCTCTGTGAAGCAAAAACAATGAGTTATAATACCTACTGGAAGAATAAAAATGCACAAACATTAGTATAATTTTCAAGCTAGCTGATTAAAAAAATGAATCTAGACTTCTCTGGCACAAATGTTGGTAGCTAAGTGAACCAACAGTTTGAAGCTGCCTGAATAATAATAAGTAAATAATATTAATAATAATAATAATAATAATAATAGTAATAATAAGTAAAAAATAAGAAGGGAGCCAATAGTTTGAAACTAATGTTGACAACTTCTAACACAAACTGTTATTGTAAGTAATTGCATCTCTGAAAAACATACGTCAATGCATATTAACAGCAAGATCTGTTAATTTTGTCAAAATCCCTGGATTTTATTTTTATTCCATGAGTGAGCTGAGGAAATGAACATGTCAGCAAGAATGGGGGTGTTATAAAATCAAAGAAACATAGTCCCCAGGAAAACGTAAAGTCTACTGTGGAAAACAGGCCTAATGGTCCTTAAAAAAATAACTGAAACAAAAAGAGGAAATACATTTCAAAGTACTTTTTAAATGAGCAGCAACAACCGACAATGGTTTTCACTACTGCATATCCCAGAGACAAATAAGAAAAGCCTAATTCTGCAACTCTTTCTTCCACAATGAGAGAGAACAGAAAAGACTTTTGCTTGACACATGCACCACTCCTCCTCTGAATACAATCAGAAGTTCTAGGGCAATGGTTCTCAACCTTCTGGCCCTTTAAATACAGTTCCTCATGTTGTGACCCAAAGATAAAATTATTTTTGTTGCTACTTCATAACTGTAATGTTGCTACTGTCATGAATGGTAATGTAAATATCTGATATGCAGGATGGTCTTAGGCGACCCCTGTGAAAGGGTCGTTCGACCGCCAAAGGGGTCTCGACCCACAGGTTGAGAACCGCTGTTCTAGGGTAACATGTGTGAGGTTACAGGGCAACATAAGGAATCATAGGGTTACTAGGGGCAGTCCCTGAGATCTAGGAGCTGGGCAGACTCATTAAAAAGATGCAACATGATACAAGGGCTAATATGCCAAATGCCACAAGACAGACCAAACAATCATTACTATTGGAATTAAGAGGGATCGGCTTCTAAAGTGGCAGGGAAAGCTTCAGAGATAAAGCAGGGCTTGCACAAGACCAACGATTATTGAAGAGGAAGATAAGAACATTCCCAGAGGGGGGAGGGAGATCAATCATCCTTCAGAAAATAGACATAGAGAAAGAAACAGTGAGGAGTCAAGTATTGCAATAGAAAAATGACGACAGGAATAAAACTGGGAAAATACAGCATTAAAATCTGCTGATGGGCACTTAGGCTGTTTCCAAATCTTAGCTATTGTAAATTGTGCTGCTATGAACATAGGGGTGCATATATCCTTTCTGATTGGTGTTTCTAGTTTCTTGGGATATATTCCTAGAAGTGGGATCACTAGGTCAAATGGGAGTTCCATTTTTAGTTTTTTGAGGAAACTCCATACTGTTCTCCACAATATGGTATGCAGGCTATACCAGTCTGCATTCCCACCAGCAGTGCACGAGGGTTCATTTTTCCCCACATCCTCGCCAGCACCTGTCGTTTGTTGATTTGTTGATGATAGCCATTCTGACAGGTGTGAGATGGTAAAATAATGCAAATTTAATTAGCACCTAACACAGTGATGGAGAACCTATGACACGCGTGTCAGAGGTGACAGGCGAACTCATTTTTTTGGTTGATTTTTCTTTGTTAAATGGCATTTAAATATGTAAAATAAATATCAAAAATATAAGTCTTTGTTTTACTATGGTTGCAAATATCAAAAAATTTCTATATGTGACACAGCACCAGAGTTAAGTTAGGGTTTTTCAAAATGCTGACACGCCGAGCTCAAAAGGTTCGCCATCACTGACCTAAAACAGTCCTTAAAATCAACTCCATTACTCTGTTATGTACAAGACTATTCCATAATAGAACTTTGTCACTTTCACAGTCCACTTTCCTGTTGTTATGCAGGTATTACATCAAATACTCTAAAATCCTTGCATTCCTTTTTAGGAAAAGGAACTGCAAATTCCGTGCTGCTTTCTGAGTTTTACCAACACATATGTGTGCGCAAATACACACACACATACATTCACTCACACACCCCATGGACCCAAACAATATAATGTATTAAAGCAGTATTTATGACATACTTTACAAGTCTAAAAGCTCTACATGTAAAGATGAGAAGAGCTAAAAATATTAAACTGTAGCCCTAGTCATATGGCCAGTTGGTTGAGTGTTGTCCCGTGCACCAAAAGATTGCCTGTTGGACTCCTGGTCAGGGCACAGGCCCTGGTTGCGGGCTCAATCCCTGGTAGGGTATGTGCAGGAGGCAGCCAATTGATATCTCACTCTCACATCAATGTTTCTCTCTCTTTCTCCCTCTCCTCTCCTCTCTCCTTAAAAATTAATAAAACATTTTTAAAGAAAAATATTAAACTGTATATTGAAAAGTGCCCTACAGGTTACTATTATAATTTCTCCCTCAGATAAAAAGACATAAAAGTAACAGACTGTGTTTAGTGTTTACATAGTCAAAACAGCTAATCTTTGAGGTGGTTTAAAACATGTATGAATACACATGCATGTACATGTGTATTAATCTTCTATATGTTTACCTACCAGTTTCTCCAGCTGTTTTATTCTTCCCATGAGGCTTATATAGAACATACGAGCATCCTTTTACATGGAAGTGGTCATTAATTTGTCTAAACCATCTGAAAATAACAAGAAGATTTGCTCATAGAAACAGTTCCATAATAAAGATGGCACTATTCCAATTCTAGAGAAATTCAGGCAGAGCCCAAGTTTGGTATATCTACTACAGATTGGGGCCTGGCAGCTGCACACATGGTTTACTATCAACACACATCTACAGCATTATTATTTTATAGACTAGAAATAAAATATGTATCTAAGCAAGGGCTTCATACCTCATGAGTGTTGTATTTCCAGTGAAAGGGCCAAACCTAATATCTTCAAATGGGGGTTGAAAGCCCAAAATATGTAATGCTTCTTCTTGGGTAATCGGTGGAAGACTACAAAAGAAACATTGCCTTTCATTTTACAATTACAACCATATGCAAATATAACCTGTCTCAATGCTAATATTAATATGTCTGTCTGATTTGCAAAGACTTTTGGTAATATTTTTAATTTTTATTTTATCAAAAATAATGCATACACATATCTTAGCCAAAAGACTTAAAACAAAATGAAGTAGTTTTTCCTCAATTTATGAAAAACCTATCCTTAAAAACCTTCCATTATAGAAAAAGCCCTGGGAAACAGGGTGCGGCTGGAAAGGGGGCCGCCCCCTCGCCCTTCACGCAACGCACGTTAGTGGGGAACCTGGTGCTAAACCATTCGTAGACGACCGGCTTCATATGCAGCAGAGCAGCTCCCTCGCTGCGATCTATTGAAAGTCAGCCCTCAACAAAAGGGTTTGAAGAAAGATCAAGAAAAAACAACAAAGAAAAAAAGAGAAAAAGCAACACCAAATAGCATGGGAGTTTAGATACCAATAAATTAACATACTCACTTCCCAGCTCCCACTGTGCTATATAAGAAATTCCAACAAGAAACTAATGAAGAGATACCACAAGAAGTCTTATATTGTGGTCGGCTTATACAGTACCTGGGAAAACAAAAGATTTTTCTTTACTTGAATGAATACAAAATAGGCATATAAATATGCAACTCTCATGGCAACTAAAAGTGTTTTAACATAATGAAAATTTTGATCACTTAAACCAATATAAAATCTTTATTCACTTAAAATATTTTTATATTTATTAAACGTATCATAAACAATAAATCATTCATTTTAATAAAGATAGCTAAGTATGACTACTACTAGTTAGAGTAGATGTTATCTAAACCAATGGGGGAAAATAATGGTATACAAATGTAGACACCAACCACAAAAATTTCAGTGCAAATTCCCAGTTGAGCTGTAGATCAGATATATGATCTACAAATATTTTCTCCCACTCTGTATGTTGCCTTTTCACTTTGTTGATTGTTTTCTTTGACCCGGATAAGTTTTTAAGTTTGATGTAGTCCCCTTTTGTCTATTTTTGCTTTTGTTACCTGTGGTTTAGTGTCATATCCCAGAAATCACTTCTAAATCCAAGGTCATAAAACTTGTCCCCTATGTTTTCTTCTATGAGTTTTATCATTTTAGGTCATACATTTATGGCTTTAATCCATTTTGGGTTAATTTTTGTGTATGCTGTGAAATAAGGGTCCAACTTCATTCTTTTTTATGTGGATATCCACTTTTCCCAGCACCGTTTTCTGAAGACACTATCCTTTCTCTATTGCATGGTCATGGCACCCTTGCCAAAGATATTTTATTCATTTACATGAAGGTTTATTTCTGGAATCTCTATTCTATTCCATTGGTCTATATGTCTGTCTTTACTCCAGTACCACACTGTTGTAATTATTGTATATTTGTTATATGTTTTGAAATCAGGAAGTATGTGGCCTGTGTTCAACTCGTGCAATCACCACCTCCCCAGCAATTATCCAGAGGCAGTATCTTCAGCTGGAAGTTGGGGAGTAAGATAATCAAGGGGCGATCAGCATGATGTCTCCTTCTGCGACCCTCCCTGCAATGCCGTTGCCTTGACCTAGATTTCCACGAAGAACTCCAATGCTTCAGCACTGATGCGACTTCTCAGACACCTAGATCTAACCAAAGGGTCACTGGATGGTTTCAAGACCATCATGTGAACTTTAGGGAAATCTGCATTGTTTTATGCCAGCAGTTAATGCACAGAATTGGACAAGTATAGTTTGGAGACTTTGATATTTCCTTGTTTCAACACAGACAATTTTCCATCTTGTTATTGATTTCATGAGTTTGAGGAAAGTAGTGAAGTAAAAAAACTAAAACAAAACACGTATTCTATCATATTTAAATCTCTCCCTTCTATTTTAAACAATTCTTCACAAAGCCTTAGGATTAGCCTAGGCATCCTTAAGATTTTTTTTTGTATTTCATCATTTCAAACTTGTTTACTGGTCTTGTTCATGATCAGCTTAACACTTTTACTTCTATCTTCTAAGGGTCTTTCTATTACAACCCTAATTCTGTGTAATATTCTTAGTGGGAAATAAGGTTGTTGTCCTGGTAATTTTTCCCTTCAGGTTATTTCTCCCATCTGTCCTATCCCATCCAAGTCTTTATGGCCTCACATGCTATACTATTAAATTATTCATATTCATATGACTATTCATACTTGTTGTTAAAACAAATCTTAAGTCTAAGGAATTAGAAGCAAAAATGGGTAAAGATTTGCTCCAAAGAAACTAACATTAATGTTTTTTATTCTAGTGTTTCTTTCCCAGTACACTTTTCATACTAACTACTACCAATTTATCTTTGTAAATATCCTTATATTAAGAAATCACCAATGGCTTATTTATGCCCCAGAAAAAAAAATCTAAATCCTTAGCCCAATATCCAAGAAATAGATCATAAAAGGTGTTATAAAATATCACAGAGTTGCCCTAACAGGTTAGGCTCAGTGGATAGAGCATCGGCCTGCGGACTGAAGGGTCCCAGATACGATTCCAGTCAAGGGCATGTACCTTGGTTGTGGGCACATTCCCAATAGGGGGTGTGCAGGAGGGAGCTGATCCATGTTTCTCTCTCATCGATGTTTCTAACTCTCTATTCCCTCTCCCTTCTTCTCTATAAAAAATCAATAAAATATATATATTTTTAAAAATCACAGAGTTGTCCTGGCTGGTGTTTCTCAGTGGTTAGAGTGTCACCTGGGCACGGAAGCGTCAAGGGTTCAATTCCAGTCAAGGGTATATACCTGGGTTGCAGGTTCAATCCCTGACCCCAGTCCGGGCGTGTGTGGGGGGCAACCAATCGATGTGTCTCTCTCACATCAATGTTTCTCTCTCTCTCTCTCTCTCTCTCTCTCTCTCTCTCTCTCTCTCTCTTTCTCTCTCTCTCTCTCCTCCCTTCTATTCTCTCTAAAAAAATCAATGGAAAAAATATCCTCGGATGAGGAATAACAAAAAATAAATAAAACAGAATTTGGAGTCTGGCTTTTTTCAGTTCCAATATATGATCTACTTACTCACCATGTGATGTTGGGGAATTTTTTTGTTTGTTAATCCTCACCCGAGGATATGTTTTTTTCCATTGATTTTTAGAATGGAAGAGAGGGGGAAAGACAGAGAGAGAGAAACATTGATGTGAGAGAGACATACACACACACACACACACACACACACACACACACACACACACACCCGGGCAGGTAATCAAGTACCTGCCCTTGACCAGAATTGAAACAGCAACCTTCAGTCCACAGGCTGACGCTCTAACCACTAAGCAAACTGGCCAAGGTTGGGCAATTTTCTTAGCTTCTCTGAGTCTCACTCCAGATAAGCTGGTTTACCCTTCATTACCAACATGCCAGACACTTTCTTACCATCCATTCAAAGACCTAAAACCCTCCATCCCCTCAGATTTCCTTTCTTTAGACCCAACTCTTCGGGGAAGCCTTCTGATGTTCATTTCTTCCTCTCATATTTTTTCTTTATTCATACCCATCATCTGATAAACTGCTTGAAATATTTTACATGTCCTTCTTAGTCCTCTCTTCTCAACTAGATTTCAAACCTTAAAAGAACAAAGACTATGTTTTATGTATCTTTGTAGTCTCAGCCATATCCAATATTTATTAAATAAGTGAAAATATTTAATATTTCTAAAACCTCAAACAATAGAATTTTTAAAACCTCAAATCAGAGATCAGCAATTTTATAGCTATCACGAATTAAACCTTTTTTTCTTGAGAAAAGGAACTTTATTTTAAGGTGACCAGATACCCCTAGTTGATAAAGGAAAGCTCTTCTTATTAGAAGAATGCCAGCTAATAAAGGCAGAAAAAAAGATAGAATTTTGAGATATCACCATTTCACAACAAGGATTCAGGCAAGGATCGTCAATAGATTTGGCTAAGACCATTAGATGAAAAGTTGATAGGAACAGGCTCTTAGCCTAATGCCATTGTCACCCCACTGATTACTTCATGGCTGCAGAAGGGGGAAAATAACTTGACAATGAAGGCTAAGGTTGTCACCTCCTAAATCCCGTAATCACTCTTAGAATCTCTAATATTAGATCACCAAGTTCTATGAACCTCCTGATGTAATATAATACGAAGGTCACAGGATCATTTAGGCAGTATTCTTGTGTAAAATGTTCAACCAGGACCTCATTAAGTCTTTATATCTAACATCTAATTTTCAGGAAATATTGAGGATATATAAATAATTTAGAAAAATTAATCTGAAAAAAAATCAGACAAATCCAGAAGGTAGCACATCCTACAAGATATCTGGCTAAGTCTCTTCAATAAGTCAATCTCCTAGAATTAAAAGGAGGTAGAGACTATTCTGGTTTAAGAGAGACATATGAGCTACCACAAGTTAACACAAAGTATGGTTCATAGTTGGGTCCCACATTGAACAACCAGGAGTGAAGACATTTTCAGAGCAACCTGAGAAATCTAAATTTAGCCTAGGAATTAGATACTAAGGAAATATTGCTAATTTTAATAGGTGTAACACTGGTACTGTGGTTAAGGAAGAAAAAAATCAATTTTTAGAGCTTACCATCGTCTGAGGTCTAATACTTTCCGCTGCTTAATATCTTCAAGAGGAGAATGCTGAGGCCACTCCCTTTGATGTCTTCCTTTTTTATCTGAAGTTTTTTTCTTGGAAATTTGTTTCTTTACATTGCCTAGAATATACGAGTATAAAATAAGCAAAATGCTTAATATGAAGTAAACTGCCAGGACAATGATACTAATTGTTGAACAAAATTAAAAAGTAGCTGCCACTAGTTCTAAAAATGATATTTGTAAACATATTGAATAAATAAATGTATCCTCATAAATTCTCTCCTACCTTACAGAGAGAAAATAAAAACAGATTTAAACAACCATGAATGTTATTCCCTATCAGATTTATACTAGTATATTCCAATTCCTAAGCAGGTCACTTAGCTAGTACATGAATCAATCACAAAATCTTTTAATTTAGAAAATCAAATTACCAACTATAAAATATTTAACTAGAGCACTTTCCAGAAAATGAATCCTTTCTATAAAACAATGAAACCACATTAATGTAATTCTGTTAAAAAGTAAAAACATTAGATCCACTAATGCAATGATGTGATATTTAAAAATATCTCCAGGCCTATAGAGCCCACAAAATGGATTAAAAATGATGCACCCATGTGTGTTATTAAAATGCAACTTTAGCACCAGGAACTAGAGTGGAAAACAGTCTCTTTTCTGTGTGTGTGTGTGTGTGTGTGTGTGTGTGTATGCGTGTGTCTCTTTCTCTCCAAAAGACACATAAGAATAGTGGTTATCTATGAGGGGAGGGGAATGGGAGATAGACAAAAGTAAGACAAAAATGAGAGTTAGACTTTAAGTGTTTAATTTTTATGCTTTTCATTTCTGAGCCATGCTAATGTATTATTCAGTAAAAAATTACATCAATTAAAATATTAATAACATCTGAGCCTCATTTGACTAAAATGCCATTAACATTTCAGATAGCTATGCTGAAATACTTTAATAATGTCACACATATTATATTTTAAATGAAATAAATCTGTTATAAAAATTAAATAAAAGCTAGTATTTTATTTTTATAGTTATTCATCAATTATGATATATACATTATATAAACATATGCCTAGAAAACAAACATGGAAAAGGGTCCATTTTATTCATTTAAGATGCTGTACAATGAAATCACCTGGTACTCAAAACCAGCTAGAACTTAGAAACTATTGGTATACAGAAAATTTCTCTAATTTTTCTAAAATGTCATAATAACAAACGCAATAATATCCTCATAAAATTCCTGTGTTACTGTGAGTTCAAAAAGAAAGAGGTGAAAGCATTAGTATCTGCCAGAGGTCCACCACAATGCAATTGTGAAGGTTGTGCACTGCACCCTAGGTGAACTCCCTAGGTCAGTGGTCGGCAAACCACGGCTCGCGAGCCACATGAGGCTCTTTGGCCCCTTGAGTGTGGCTCTTCCACAAAATACCACATGCGGGCGCGCACGTACAGTGCGAAGTTGACTTAAAACTTTAAGTAAAGTTTGCCGAAACCGGTTTGGCTCAGTGGATGGAGCGTCGGCCTGCGGACTGAAGGGTCCCAGGTTCGATTCCGGTCAAGGGCATGTGCCTGGGTTGCGGGCACATCCCCGGTGGGGGATGTGCAGGAGGCGGCTGATCGATGTTTCTCTCTCATCGATGTTTCTGACTCTCTATCTCTCTCCCTTCCTCTCTGTAAAAAATCAATAAAATATATTAAAAAAAAAAACTTTAAGTAAAGTTTATTAAGTTAAATTTAGGGAACGTTGTGGAGTGAAAGAAGATGTAGTGTCGAGGATTGAGAAAGGTATGTTGAGATGGTTTGGACATATAGAGAGGATGAACAAAAGGAGATAGACGAAACAAGTATACAAGACGAGTGTGGATGGGAGAGTTGGAAGGGGTCGACCTCAGTGAACGTACCTCAATCAGATTGAGGACGTTTTTAGCAGAGGCCAGCTTAGGAGTACCCTAATTAAGTTAATAACAATGTACCTACCTATATAGTTTAAGTTTAAAAAATTTGGCTCTCAAAAGAAATTTCAATCGTTGTACTGTTGATATTTGGCTCTGTTGACTAATGAGTTTGCCGACCACTGGCCTAGGTGAAGAGCACCCAAACTGGACAGTGCACAACCTACTAAAGGGTACCTGGAGACCTTGTGGGGTACTCAACAAATTGTAACAAAAAAGTCTCAATGTTATATGACAGAAAATAAAACTAGATATTTAATTGGGAAAGATGAATTCGTTTCCCTGCAAAACTACAAAATAGTTGTCTGTTATTTTAACCACCTTATTAACTACTTCTGGGTCACCATGTACTTATCTGTAATACCTGTATTCTAGAGCATCCTAGATTGTTCAGAGCTCTAAAAATGCAAGGGTAATGTTTGAAGTTTCCAATGGCAACATATTAATTGACCAAAAGTCCCATGGCCAAAGTCATCTTTTAACTACAATGATAGATAAGATGATAGCAATGTTCCCTATTCAGTATTTTTTTAAAAAAGGAAAACCATGTTTAATGGCAAGATTAAACAAGGTAGTGTCTTCTTATTATTTTCACATGTGAACTTCATGTCTCCTTCCTTACCTGATTTGTGTTTCAAATTTGTGGTCACCCCATCAAATTCAGATTTATCAATTTCCCATGCGAGAGGTAGCTTGCCCAGGCTATTGGATAAGTTTTCCAAGCTATTTTCATCATTGTAGATGATTTCTGATGTACTAGTTGGGATGCCAATGTATCTTGATGAATTATTTCCAGCAGATAAAGAGGTACTATCAGGGAGGCAAGAAGTGCGGGATGGATTTGGAGTTTTATAGATTGAGGTTGCCTGGTTGAGAAAGGCATAGTCCGAACAGATGGCATAAATTTTCTCCCGAGTATGGGTCACTGGACAGCTCCACGGATAATGGCCATCTCCTTTGGCAGCCAAGGGTGCTCCCGAGGCACGTGTGCAGAAGGATTGTACAGTATCTTGTAGGTTCTCTTCAGGAGACTTTCTCTCAGATTTGTGCTCATGATTTCCAGAATCATTTGCCCTTTCTGCTTCTGCATCGTTAGGCATTGAATGCAACTGTAAAAGTTCTATTAGGAGGAGGAAGTTGCAACTCTTTTTGTTTCTTGAAAAACTGTGACAACTGTTTACAGCATTCTACAAAAACTGGAGAGCTGCAAAATGGGCTCCTAAGAAAAGAGAGAGGAGAAAGAGAGATCAACAATCCACCCGACACTACAAAGAGCCCCCAAAAATGTACCAAGTGTCACATGCCTTAAGTCAGTAAGTATTTATTTTGCAACTACTATATGCCTAGAGTAATGATCATTAACCATCTGTCCTATTAAAATTATTTTAAAATAATGCATTAGAATAAAAAAGACAAACAGGGCAACATATATGAATCACTTCTCCAAAGATGAAATAGAAATGGCCAATAAACACATGAAAATTAAGCGCAATCATTAAGCACAGAAATGCAAATCAAAACCATAATGCGGTACCACCTGACAACCACCAGTATGACTATAATAAAACAGTTAATAATAAGGATTGTCAAGGATGTGGAGAAATTGGAACCCTCATACACTGCTAACGGAAGTGCAAAATGGTCCAGTCACTTTGGAAAACAGTTCCTGAAACATTTACATAGAGTTACCATGTGATCCAGCAATTTCACTCCTATATATCCAAGAAAAGTGAAAACACGTCTACACAAATATTCACAGCAGCATTATTCATGATAGCCAAAAATGGAAACAATTCAAACATCCATCATGAATGAATAAAAAAATGTGGTATCATCCATACTATGGAATATTATTAGGCAATAAAACTAAATGAAGTACTGAACCATGCTAAAACATGAACCTTGAAAGTGTTATGCTAAGTAAATAAAGCCAGTCACAAAGGATCAGATAGTGTATGATTCTTGATAGGAATTGCTTTGATTCTATAGATTGCTTTGGGTAGTTTGAACATTTAAATAATGTAATTCTTCCTATCCATGAACATGGTATACCAGGTATACTTCCACTTATTTCTATCTTCTTCAGTTTCTTTCTCTAGTGTCTTATAATTTTTATGCAATTGTAAATGGAATTGTTTTCTTTGTTTCCCTTTCTCATAGTTCACTATTGGTGTATAAAAATGCAACTGATTTCTGGGTAATTATGTTATATCCTGCTACTTTACTAAATTCATTTATCAGTTCTAGTAGTTTTTTGGTGGAATCTTTAGGGTGCTCTATACACAGTATCATGTCATCTACAAAGGAGTTTTACTTTTTCCTTTCAAATTTGAATACCCTTCATATCTTCTTTTTGTCTGATTGCTCTGGCTATGACTTCCAGTACCATGTTGAATAAGAGTGGTGAAAGTGGACATCCCTGTCTTGTTCCTGATCTTAAGGAAAACACTTGTAGTTTTTTCCCATTGACTATGATGTTGGCTGTGGGTTTGCCATATATGGCCTTTATTACGTTCAGATATGTTACTTCTATTTCCACTTTGCTGAGAGGTTTTATCATAAACTAGAAGCTCGGTGCACAAATTCATGCATGGGTGTGGTCTGGCCGGCCCGCCCTGATGGGGGCCCATCGAGCGGGGTCAGCTGTGGGATTCTGGAAGGTATAGCTTTCTCCCAGCTGGATCTAATTATATTTTAAGGATGGCCAAAAGAAAACCCACAACAGAACTGTTTTGCATTTCACGTGCCATGAGATGAAGTTGTTTATGTGTTGTTTGCAAACATATATCAAGATAAATGATGGCCCTTTACATTCTTCCCAGGGCTCTGCCCTCAGTTTCCCAATATGATCTTCATGTCTGTTTTTTTACAAGTTTTTGTTTTTGAATGTGCCTACCCTTTGTTGTTCCTCCTGGCAGCCTGTGGGTCCTCTTCGCCGCCCCTTTTAAAGAGAGATTGAAAGCTCATCTAATCTGTGAGGCACTGCAATTTCACAAAATCCCCACCCAGCCTCTCTATATTCCTCAGCAAAGGGCTGCAGGCCATGGAGGGAGAATTCCACACCTTGGCTGCAGTATTAGCAGAGCCCTCTGGAGACTCTGGTCAGGGACAGGAGGGACTGATAATTATTTTCTTGTGTTTTCACTAAATGTACATGCACCAGGGAGCCAGGCAGTGATTTAGGGGTGTTGGGAGCTGATGGGGGGGGGGTCAGGGGGAGGAGCCACAGGCAGTTGGCCAGCTGGTCCCGCCCCTGATCGGGGTGTTGGGGGCCAATTGGGCCAGGCAGGCCGGGGGTGTGTGAGGCACCAATCAGGCTGGTTGGCTACCACAGTGCACGTCATAGCCACCAGTTTTTCTGGTCGTTCTGGTCATTCTGCCAGAATGGTCGCTGGACTTTTATATATATAGACGGGTGATGGATTTTATCAAATTCTTTTTCTGCACCTATTGATATGATCATGTAATTTTTATCCTTCATTTTGTTTGTGTGGTACATCACATTTATGATTTATGGATAGTGTACCAAACTTGTATCCCTGGAATAAATTCCAATTGATCATGGTGCATGATCTTTTTTAATGTATTGCTGAATCTGGTTTGCTAATGTTTTGTTGAGGATTTTAGCATCTATGTTCATCAGAGATATTGGCCTATAATATTCTTTCTCATGATGTCTTTATATGGCTTTAGAATCAGGATAATGCTGACCTCATAAATAGCTTGGGAGTCTTCCCTCCTCTGAAATTATTTGGAATAGTCTGAGAAGGATAGGTGTTAGTTCATCTTCGAAGGTTTGGTAAAATTTACCTGTGAAGCAATCTGGTACAGGATTTTGGTTTGTTGGTAGTTTTTACATTACTGCTTTTATTTCATTAATTTTAAACTGTCTATTCAGATTTTCTGATTCTTCCTGATTTAGTTTTGGAAGATTGTATGTTTCTAAGAATTTATTCATTTTGTCCAGATTGGTCCAGTTTGTTCGGATACAGTTACTCATTATATTTTCTTACAATTCTTTGTATTTCTGTGGTATCAGTTGTTCCTTCTCCTCTTTCTGATTTTATTTATTTGGGTCTTTCTCACTTTTTCATGACGAGTCTGGTTAAAGGTTTGTCAATCTTGTTTATCTTTTCAAAAAAGTCAACTCTAGGTTTCATTGATTTTTTTTGGTAGTTTTTTTAGACTATTTTGTTTATTTCTGCTGATTTTTATTATGTTCTTTCTTCTACTTGCTTTAGATTTTGTTTGTTGTTCTTTTTGCAGCTCCTTTAAGTGTAATGTTAATTATTTGAGATTTTTCTTGTGTGTTTTTTTAAATATATTTTATTGGTTTTTTTTACAGAGAGGAAGGGAGAGGGATAGAGAGTTAGAAACATTGATGAGAGAGAAACATCGATCAGCTGCCTCCCACACACCCCCTACTGGGGATGTGCCCACAACCAAGGTACATGCCCTTGACCGGAATTGAACCTGGGACCCTTCAGTCTGCAGGCCGACACTCTATCCACTGAGCCAAACCAGCCAGGGCAGATTTTTCTTGTTTTTTGACATAGGCCTCTAATGCTAGGAATTTCCCTTAGGACTGCTTTTGCTGTGTCCCATATAATTTGGATCGTCATGCTGTCATTTTCATTTGTTTCAAGGTATCTTTTGATTTCCTCCTTGATCTCATTGGTAACCCATTCATTGTTTACTAACATGCTATTTAGCTTCCATGTCTTTGTGTGTTTTTCAGTTGTTTTTCTTGTGATTGACTTTTAGCATCATTGTGTTTGGAGAAGATGTTTGATATGATTTAAATCTTCTTTAATTTATTGAGACTTGTTTTGTGCCTAATATGGCCTATCCTAGAAAATGTTTCAAGTGCACATGAAAATAATGTGTATTTTGTTGCTTTCGGATATCTAAAGATTAAATCTAGCTGATCTAGTGTGTCATTTAAGGCTGCTGTTTCCTTGTTGATTTTCTGTCTGGAAGATTTATCCATTGATGTCAATAGAGTGTTAATACTATGACTGTACTACTCTCCCTCCGTCCATCAAGATTTGCTTTATATATTTAGGTGCTCCTATGCTGGGTCCATAATGTTTACAAAGTTATACCCTCCTGTAGCATTGCTCCCTTTAGTATTATTATGTAGTGTCCTTCTTTGTCTTCTACTATAGCCTTTGTTTTAAAGTTTATTTTGTCTGATATAAATATTGCTAACCCAGCTTTTTTCCCCCTTTCCATTTTCATGAACTATCTTTGCCCATCCCTTTCCTTTAGTCTGTCTGTATTTTTCATTCTGAGGTGGGTCTCTTGTAGAAAGCATATATATAGGTCCTGTTTTCTTATCCATTCAGCTACCTTGTGTTTTTTTATTGGAGCATTTAAGCCATTTACATTTAAACTGATTATTGATAGGAAAGTATTTAATGCTATTTTATTCTATGTTCCTCTGTTTCTTCTTTTTTTCTCCTCCTTTTCCTCCTCCTCCTTCTTCTTCAAATAGGAAGACCTGGGCGAATAAAACCATTACAGGCGGTGTAGGAGGCAATCAGATGCAGGTGCCAGAGCAGAGCACTTTGCAGGGCTTTATTGATGGAGCACCAGTTTAAATTCAACCCACCCGGGGTGGCCATTTTGACATTTACCTGTTAATATCTCTGCCATTTGCTTACTTAAAAAATTAGAAATGAGAATAACTTTCACCAATTACAGGAAAATGATTATATAAAATCCATCATCAAAATACTGAATGACAAAACCTATGACTAACACGATAAGAAATAACAGATGATTCCCCTGAGTCTGTGAGGAGAAATTACTGAAGGTACTGAATGTCCTTCATGTAATTTAAGGAAACAGACTTCCATACCAGGAGGACTCCACATATCCTAGAAAAGATTCCATTTTATTTATTTTTAAGGAATGTTTAAATGCCCTCTATTCAAACCTTCATGTGATTTGTCCAGAGTTTATAGTTATTTTGCAGGAGGTTCTGTTTGGCAGGAGCTTCACCAACAAAGATGGAATCTCTGATGGTTTTGAAACATTCTTTGTTTGTTTGTTTGTTTGTTTGTTTTTATAGCCAAGAAATCCTAGGAGTAGGTATAGTAGATCCCTAGATAGGAATCTGTTATGCTTTCTCCTTCTTCCTCATCTCCTGGCATGATGGTGACAGTGGAGGAAGATGCAAGAGAAGCTGAGTACCTGAGTGTGTGCAGACCAAACTCTGCTTTTCTGAGGAGTTGGTTTCTCTGATTTTTACCAGATGTCTTAGAGGAACATTTTTCTACTTTTTATCTGTTATCCTCTCGCCTTTCTCTAAAACCCGTAGTATGGATAGAGGTAGTTATTTGTAGCATTGGGGTTGTTTGGGTGGGTTGTAGTAGAATGAGGCATGAATATGGTCATGGTTAAGGGCAATTAGCAAAGGGTACAGAAGTTAGTCTGGTGGGGAAGACAGAAATATTCCTGGTGCTGTCTTTGTTATCTCTTCATTTCAAACTTAGCTTCCACTTTGCCAGAGCTTTCTTTCTCAGACTGAATGGAATTTTACCTGTGGGACCAGTTCCCTGTGTAGCAGTGTGGGGATTTTATGAAAGATGCTGATTTGGAACCGTATATAGGAGACTGTTCTGATCAAAAACATATGCAAAGGGAAATTACTGCATTTGCACAGAAAAGGGGCTAAGCTTCTGGAGGCTAAAGATAAGAAAGAACATAACAATTGATTAATAAAGCATTTAACAGTCTGAATCCATTGTTATGGGTTTGTGTTTTGGGTTTGATTGCTTTTATTTTATTTTTTAAATATTTTTTATTGATTTTTTACAGAGAGGAAGGGAGAGAGATAGAGAGTCAGAAACATCGATGAGAGAGAAACATCGATCAGCTGCCTCCTGCACATCTCCTACTGGGGATGTGCCCGCAACCCAGGTACATGCCCTTGACCGGAATCGAACCCGGGACGACCTTTCAGTCCGCAGGCCGACGCTCTATCCACTGAGCCAAACCGGTTTCGGCTTGATTGCTTTTAAATAGTGATCAGTGATCAAAATGATGCCTTTGGTTATACTTTTACCAAAATAAAATAAAATAAAATAAATTATCACCATAAAAGCATATTTTATACTGTCAAAAAAGGCCAAGAGTAAATGTAAAGCAGTTTGCAAACTTTCTTATTAAACCACTGTTTATGGAAATTTGTCTTTGAAAACCTGTAATATTTATAAATTTTACCACGTAAGTAAAACAAATTACAGAAAAATATTACAAAATACCAAAAGATATTACAGAGAAAGTAAAAATTATCCAAATCCCACGACCCAAACACTGCTATAATTTACTTTCTTTATCTGTCTGCTCCTACCTTTTCTCTTCACTTCAGTGAGATCTCTAAGAGACCAAGGGTGCTAGTATTATTGTGTCCTCAGGCTTTCTTACAAGTGAACTAAGCACAAATCATTACTGATAACAGAGACATTACAGAGGCAAATTATTGTATTTTATTGTAATTATAGCCTCACTGTAGTGAGGTACAGATAGGTAGCTTGTCCCTCCACTCCATAGCCCACAGCTCTCAGTTTTCTCAGACCTTGTATCAGCTTTTGTAGACCATTCCCAATTCCATTCCCACTCCTAGCCCCCTCCATCCCCCTGAGTTGACATTTCAAACCTGACCTGTGCATAGATATTCGAAAGAAAAGCATGCATCATAGAACTCCTCTGCCTAAAACCCTCTGCTGTTAGAAACAAAAGCCCACTCCTAATCTAGACCTTCCTCATCCTCCCTCTTCCCCTTCCTCTCTCTGCACTCCCTCCACACTGACCACATTTCCAGTCTCCGAATGCTGTTTACTCCCACTCACCCTCTTCATATAATTAATTTCCATTTATCCTTCAGATATCCTTCAAATATCACTTTCAGCGGCAGGGTAGATGCTTTCAATGCTCATCAAAATAGTCCCCGTCACCCTGTATATGCTATATGCTCAGGCACCTTTCTTTCACAGGTTTTAACCAGGTGTGATATTACTTTTATACATGCGTGTGCTTATATGATGAATGTTTGCCTCTGGTTTTCCTGACCATTGAATTCCCAAGTCCAGCATTTATAGAAGTATCTTCCACAAATACTCATTCTTAAATGCCTACCTCATGTCAGGCATTATTGCAAACCCAGGCTTAAGAGCCCAGATTCCAGGAGGGCTCACCAGGAGTGGCCTTAGAAATTAAGAACGGGAGTTTTAGCTAACGGGCCTCTTCTTCTCCCTAATTTCCACATGTGAAATTGAAGTGCCCTGATCTAAGCAAGACGATGCTATATTAAGAGTTACTAATGATTGCAGCATGTAATGATCAAGTTATGATTTATTCATAAGATCATGGCACAAGCAACAAAAGTTATTGTTTAACTGTATGCAAACAAAATGCTATCATAAAATGGCCAGTTCTAAATGCACCGCTAAAATAACGATTTGAACTGTTTTGCAAACTAAACGTTCCATTTCTAATAATACTCACTGCCTAGGTTGCATTCTTTTCCAGTTATATTTTAAATCAGTATTTTAAGGATCAAGTTTTCTTAGAGAACTTAACATCTTAAGTCTTCAGAAAAGCTTCCCACATATGACAACTATAATGATCTATATTCTCTATGGAAGGCCACTGAGACACAGGCATAGGTAAATGCCTTACAAAGGGTGGAATGCTGGAGGGCCAGACCAGACACACACACACACACACACACACACACACACACACACACACACGCTAAGCCCCCGTGCTTCTGGTCTCCTTCCCCCACCTCCCTACCGCCCCCTCCCCACTCGCATCCTTCCCCACGACCCCAGGCCCCTCTTCCTCCATCAGACCTGAACCACTCGCCTGACAGAGGGCCGGCCTAGGACGGATACCGGGGGTCCTCCCGCGTACTGGCCAGGGTCGAGTTCAGGCTCCCCGGGAGGCGAGCGGTGTTCCGACCGCCCTCCTCTGCAAAGCTAGCAGCGCAGTGGGGCTTGGAGGCCTCCGGGTCAGAGAAGACATTCGCGCAGCCCGATGCCCGCAGCGCTGAGCGGGTCTGGGCGGACACGGCGCCGGCCAAGAGGAAAAAGCGTGGCTGCGCCCCCTGTCCGCGCCCCTCCGTCTGTCTCCCCGGCCCGCGCGCTCTCGGCCAGGCCTCCGGGGCCCTCCTCCCGCCTGCTACCTCGGCCGGAAGCCGGAGTTCACCGCCAGGGGGAGCGGGCAGAGGCCGGCGGGTGACCTCCTCCTGCCCGCCCCAGGACGCTCCGGGTGCTCTAGGCGCTTGGGCTGGTGGAACTGGAGCAGTTGAACCCCGGCGAAGGGATCCCCGGATTCGAGCTTTGGAATGCACGAGTTTAGACCATTACTAATGACAAACACCAAAACGAAAGCAGAAAAGGAACCCCCGGCCCAGGCCCACTTTGTCGGAGCTGCCGGCCCGGGTGGGTTACCGGGGCAGCTGGCAATGTCAAGAGCGGGAGGGAGGACGAGGAGGAGGCTCCTGGTGGCCACCTCGGCCCCGCGGTGGGCGCACAGGGGCGCAGGGATGGCCACCGCGCGCGCCGGACCCGGCCCTACAGAGCGTGTCTGGGAGACAGACGGGCTCCTGGCTTTAGCCACCGGTATACCCGGGGGCCGCTCCAAATCAGGCTTTGTTCCCGAGAGCACTCGTGGCGCTTCCCTCCATCCTGCGGCCCCACTCGTCACTCCACTTTTCCCCAGGAGAACGAGTGCCGGCGCAGTGGCCTCCACTTGGCCCGCTCCCGGGGTCCGGAGAGCCCACGGCCCTTGGCCGCCCGGCGGCGTTGCCGGCACCTAGAACAGGCGGACCGCGCCAGGCCCAGCCCGCGGCGCCCGGGTTCCTGGCACAAGACCCCCGCGCGCAGGGCGCACCGCCGCGGACAGCCACTTTGGTTCTGCCCATAGCCCCGGGTACCTTCAGCCTGGCCGGTGGGGTTGGGTCGCTGCGGCCGCGGCGAAACCCCGCTACGGATCCCAATCACCGATTCCCGCGCGCGGCCTGCGACGCTCCTCGGGTTACCCTGGGGCTGGCGTCTCTCGTCCCATCGGGCAGCTGGGGGACAGCGCCCTGGATGGCTGTGCCCGGAGACCACTATCAGATATCAATGATATCCTGAGATATCATTGACACACCTTCCTTTCATCGTGTTTTACACCTGACCTCTGCAGGTGCGGAGGATATGGTGACAATTCAAAGAAGAAAAAAAATCTTAGCTGTGCCTCCAGGCCCGCGTGCCCTTCTATCGGAGATGTAGTATTTATCTGTTCCCTGGAAGCCCTGACCGCAAAACAAATAAATGAGTGAGAGATGGGAAAACCTGGCAGGATTTCCGCTGGTCCCATCGCGAACTACAGGTCCCAGGAAGCCACGGCGCCGGGACGCGTGTCCACCCACCATCCACTGAGAGAAAGCCTTACTCAGCCGGCCCGACGCGCGCGGCCAATCCCCTCGCCGGGCACCTTGGACTGGAACCTGAGACGGATTCGCCCCCAGTGATGCTCCAGCTGCAGGAGCAACGCAAGTTTAGCATTGTCCCGAGAAAGAGGAGCAGGGCGGTTCTTGCCCGTTTCAGCAGAACGACTGTCCTTCAGCTGCACAAGCCCGCGCTCCGGTTGTGATTTTCCCGGGGAACGTGGAGACCCGCGCGCCTTGCCCTGCACAGCAAGCGACACCTCTTGGAGCCGTTTTTGCTGCTGCGATCGGCCAACGTGCCCTGACCCAAACCACAGCTCGTTCTGTCCATCTTTGATACCGCATTTATTCGTGGATTATTTGATAGTCCGTCTCGTAAATGTTTAGCATTTTGCTGCTTTACTACTTCTTTCTGGGGACAGTTCCAGCGTTTGCTGAGACCGGCGGAGAGAGGCGACTGAGCCCAGAGAAGAGTGAAGTATGGGGACCAGGGCTGAAAGCCGCTGTTGTCCTTCCTGCGCGCTACTTCTATATTCAGGCGGTGGATACATCCGGAAATAAGTAAGTTGAGAAACAGCTGCCTAACGATTTTTGGAATGCAGTTAAAGCTTACTGCTACTTCTTTCCAGTTTTATCCGCCCAAGAACTCCTTTCTCCACAGCAGTTTAAATTTCAGGATATTTGGGTGCTCTCCACATCTGGTTGTAACTGTCTTTCTCCATTCCAACCAATCTTTCTCAGAGCTTTCGAAATAATTCCGAATTAGCTCTTCTCCTAGCTATTTTCATAGGGATTCCCACGTAACTAGAGAGACAACCACTTTTGCATAACCTGTAATAAGGAATTTAGATCCAGTTGTTAGAAACTTGGTTTCATTTTTCCTTGGTGCTGGCCTCCGTTTCCAGGTGCACATCTGCAGGTAAACGTGCTTTGAAACTCAAAAAGAATAATCAAGCACTATTTGAAACCTTAGAGTTTAGAGGGAAAGTATATGTGTTTGCAACAAACGTTTGTTTCACTCCATTGAACTCAACAATTGAAATTTTACTCAAAACTTATGTCTAGAATTCACATACTTCTGAAATGATTGTCTTTTTTTAATTGCTCACCATGTATATTTGTAGGAAAGAAAAAAACCTTGGGAATACGTTTTCCAAAGCAAATAAAAGATATTAAATAGTATAATTGGAGAAACTAAATATAATCTTAAGAGCAAGAGCACTCACTCAAAAAAACCTTTCATACGATGTCACTTAGATGATACACTACCTACTGGCTTTTGCCCATGCTGGGCATGATTTATAATTTTTGTTGTTAATCCTCACTTGAGGATATTTTTTCCATTGATTTTTTTTTTTTGAGAGAATAAAAGGGAGGGAGGGGGAGAGAGATATAAGGGAGCCTCCTGAATGCTGGAATCTGCAACCCAGGTAAGTGCCCTTGACTGGGAATTGAACCTGCAGCCTTTCTGTTCATGGGTTGACTAACCACTGACAAACACTGACCTGGGCTATAATACTAATTTTTAACAGAATCGTTGAGAGAGATTTTTCAAAATGTTTTTAGAGGCACTATTTGATCACAAATTTCCATATGTGATGGACATCAAATAAATAGTAGGTTGATAAGAATATTTTTATATATGAAATGCATAAGTACATTCTGTGTTTACATAGATTAGTTTTAGTAACATATTCCCGTGCAATTTTCTAATGAAACTGTTTTATGTTATCTTGGCTATTGGCATCCTCTTCTTTTTAAAATCTCTGATCCATCAGATTCATTCTGATACTCAAAGTATAACAGAGAAGACAGTGTATGTTAGCGGGAGAACGTGAAGGAGAAGAGTAAGGTTCACAGACTGGACAGCATAATCTTTGTGCATTTGTTCCTTAAAATAATCTTTCTATATTATTCTTCTACCCATCACAGGTTCACATCTTCTCCAGGTGAAAAGATATTCCAGATTAAAATCTCGGCACCAGATGAGCAATTCACTAGAGTTGGCGTCCAGGTTTTAGACCGCAAGGATGGGTCCTTCATAGTCAGATACAGAATGTATGCAAGCTACAAGAATCTGAAGGTTGAAGTTAAATTCCAAGGTCAACATGTGGCCAAATCCCCATATATTTTAAAAGGTAATTTGGAACATAACTTTAAAACAACAATTTGAATACAATGATGCCTGTACTTTAATTTTTAAAAAAAGTTAGCATGATATTTTTTCACTGAAAGAAAAAAATAGACATTTTCTCCTTGAAAGCTAAATTGAAAGTCCTGAGGAAATGCAAGATTTGAATGGAAATTATAATTCACTAAAAAGGGAAGAACATACTAATAGAGAATTTGTTCCCTGAAGACACACATTAACAAGAATAATCAAGCTATATACAATATGGTCATAGATTACACTTATTTAATAGGAGGTATGTGACAGTAACTGATAAGCACTATTGAAATTTGACCACTTCAAGAAGAGAAAGAGCTTGAAGCAAAGGGGAGAAGTTAACTGTTGTTGTTTTTTCTTTGTTCCAATAGTATTTTTCTGGAGAAATTCTGAATATATATATATATGTATATATACTGCAGCTGCATTACCTAGAGCCATATCTTTCCATATCAATGGAGATAGTACCCTAACACAGTGGAAAAGCAGTGTATATACAGAGACACAAATTTTTCTTGTTCCCCACCTCCAATAAAGGCAAATTAAAAATATTTCCCACATTCCACCAGGACCACATGGTACAATATAAACCCTTAAAAATATTCCATTATTGACTACTGCCTGGGTCAGGTGGGAATCTGAAAATTATAGAAAGGAATGACAGTAAAATCTCAATTCAGATTCTGCTATATTTTGTTAGTATTATTTCTATAAACATATAATTAATTAATTACAATATGAATGAACTTTTTTTTTTTTTTCATAAAGGAGAGAGAGAATCATTGATCTGCTGCCTCCAGCACTTACCCTACTGGGCACTGAGTCTGCAACTGAGCCTGAATGGGAATCAAACTATGACCTCCTGGTTCATAGATGCTCAACCACTTAACCACACCAGCTGGGCTGAATGAACTGTTTTGAAGATTGCTCTTGTTTTTGTATAATTCTTAAAACAAACAAACATAGTAATGGTTCTTTGTTTACTTATATTGTTATTGATGATGATTTACTCATTGAGGAAAATACCTTAGACACTTTAAAAAACTGTTTTTTATAAGAGATCATTGAAATATTAATTTTATATCACTTTTGTCTTTCATCAAAAAAGACATACTCCTTTGATATATTTTTATAAATGTTTGCTTATTTTTTAAGTACACAAAACATAAAAAATAATGGACTGTAATAGCCACTGTGAGCAAAAATTAGTTACTATTGGCTTTCTTTAGAACTCGTGCAAAACAGATCTGAATATGAAAATATCACGACCTTACTGTGAAGAGCTGTCAGAACAGAAGACAAAATGCCCTTCCTAATAACCTCGGCAAAATCTGTGAAGTCGATAGTGGATAATGGATATTTGTTACGTGTTTCAAGTGCTGAGTGAAATTATTACTGTGTAATTTGTTGCTTGTGTGTAATTAGGGCCGGTTTACCACGAGAATTGTGACTGTCCTTTGGAAGATAGTGCAGCCTGGCTACAGGAGATGAACTGCCCGGAAACCATCGCTCAGATTCAGAGAGATCTGGTGCATTTCCCTACTGTTGATCCAGAAAAGATTGCAGAAGAAATCCCAAAGAGATTTGGACAAAGGCAGAGCTTGTGTCACTATACCGTGAAGGATAACAAGGTACAATTTGTGCTTGAGGTTTGCTTGTCTGTCTTAGTGATTTTTATTTTGACCATTTGGCTACAACTAGCTTTACTAAAAATCATTCTGAGGATCATTCTGATAACCTTTATCTCAGGGAAGCCTGCCAATACTTTTAGACTAATGTAATAAACATTCAATTACCTTTCAGGTTTATATCAAGACTCATGGTGAACATGTAGGTTTTAGAATTTTCATGGATGCCATACTACTTTCTTTGACTAGAAAAGTAAGTATTTCTTTTATATAAAATATAAATTTTTTTCTCAATATACAGTCAGCCCTCTAATTAAGCCCAGGTTTTAAAATGTAATTTTTCAAACTAAAAATAATAATCATATCAGAGGTGTCCTATATGGGCCTTATTATAATACTATTCTGAAGTTTTATGTCTTGTGGGGTGCCTGTGTTAATTTCCTAGGGCTGCTGTACTAAACTACTCCAAACTGGGTGGCTTTAAACAACAGAAATTTATTCTTTCACAGTTCTGGAGACTAGACGTCCAAAATCAAGGTGCCAGCAGGGCTGTGCTTCCTCTGAAACCCCCAGAGGAGAAGCCTTCTCGGCTCTCCCTGACTTCTGGCGGTGCCCAGCAATGCTTGGCATTCCTTGGTTTGCAGCTGCATCGCTCTAGTCTCTGTCCTCACAAGCCATTGTCCCTGTATGTCCTCACCTCTTTTTACAAGGACACACATTGATCAATAGAAGGCATTATACAGTGCCAGACGTGTTAGTAAGCTCTTTTCTTTGTCCTAGGTGAGGATGCCTGATGTGGAGTTTTTTGTTAATTTGGGAGAT